CAGAAAGCCCGGTCTCATCCTCTATGACGTCAGAGCCATTCAATAAGTTGGGGTTGTTGAGATACAGCAGTAAATCATCCTGTGGGAATGCTATAGGCTCAGACAGCATGGGATCAGGGTGATAGGTTTCCAGAGGTGAATCCAGAGGCTGAGGATTCTCGTATTGTTCTGAGAGCAGAGAAAGGGAGAAGAGAAAGGTACTGATTCTGCAGTCAAGGCTGTGTTTCAGATTTTTATTTTTAGATACTGCTTTCACTGCGGAAACGAGAGTGACAAAAATGTGATGTGCTCTGTACACATGTACTGTACTTCTCCCTCATTTCATCATATTATTCAAGTCTTCAAACTACTGTATTATGCTTGACTAAAAACACTTTAGTGAAAGCTAAGTATAAAATACTGTACTACAAGTTAAAGTACCACATTTATTCCTTTGTAATTCTTAAAGCTTGATTTGGAAAATACATGTACTGTAAATTTGTATATGTACAGACAGGTGATTAATTAAAGGATAAACCAACATAAAGTGTCTCAGTAAGGTGTTGGGCCACCACACGCTGCCAGAACAGCTTCAGTACTCCTTGGCACTGATTCTACAAGTCTCTGTCATCTACTGGAGGGATGAACGCCATTCTTCCAAAATATATTGATTATCCTGATGGAAATATTTCTGTCTGTGAAAAATATTTTCACATCACTGTCAGATGAAATGCTATTGCTACAATTGTTACTCATATTGATGATAATAATAATCTAGTCAAATTATCTTTGATTTCCATGACTGATCATTAGTGGCGGTTTTGTTTCATGCAGTTATGGCAAAATGTTGTTTTCATTTTACACCGACTTCTAATTGGTTTCAGTAGATACACCAAGCAAAGTATTGAAGGGTTTCAAGCATCAGAAGGTTAAAGGTATAAAGCTTTAAAATGAAATTAATTTGTTAGTAACAGTTTTTCTCAACCAAATCACCCCCACACACTTAGATTTTATGTTCAGTAGCACATGTGCATGCAGTACAAGCAATCAACAGCCCCATGATTAATGAGAAAATCAGCAATTTCATAGCTGAGTTCCACCATCTCCTTCTGCAGGATCCCCAT